CAGCTCTGATTGTTATAGTATAGATACACTGTTACAGCTCTGATTGTTATAGTATAGATACACAGTTCAGCTCTGGTTGTTATAGTACAGATAGATATATGGTTACAGCTGTGATTGTTATTGTATATATACACAGTTCAGCTCTGATTGTTATAGTACAGATAGATATACAGTTACAGCTCTGATTGTTATAGTACAGATAGATATACAGTTACAGCTCTGATTGTTATTGTATAGATACACTGTTACAGCTCTGATTGTTATTGTATATATACACAGTTCAGCTCTGATTGTTATAGTATAGATACACAGTTACAGCTCTGATTGTTATTGTATAGATACACAGTTACAGCTCTGATTGCAATTATAACCTCTTGCATAAGAATACAGTAACAAGTCTCGTTGTTATTCTAATCCCATGTATAGAAACACTGTAAAAGCTCTGATTGAAACACAGTGAACATAACAATCGGTATTCATGTGCTAAAATGGTTGACCTTGAAATTTCGATACCGTTATCCAAAAATTATGCTTCATGTGCTAAAATGGTTGACCCTGAAATTTCGATACCGTTATCCAAAAATTATGCTTCATGTGCTAAAATGGTTGACCTTGAAATTTCGATACCGTTATCCAAAAATTATGCTTCATGTGCTAAAATGGTTGACCTTGAAATTTCGATACCGTTAACCAAAAATTATGCTTCATGTGCTAAAATGGTTGACCTTGAAATTTCGATACCGCTAACCAAAAATTATGTTTCATGTGATAAAATGTATCAAATTGTGTGAGATATTTTTATTCATCTAAATATATATACGTTACCAATACCAAAAAGATACAATTCTACTTAAAACTTTCGTGAAACACTCTTTGGTATTACATGAAATAGTTGTTTACCACGATCATGTTACACTGTTAACAACCAATAAGAAGCACGCTTTTATGTAAAAGCATTACGTTACATTATTTGTCAACCAATGGGAAAGATGCTTTTATGCAAAATCATAGTGTTATACTGCTAAATAATCAATAACAAACACGGTGATCTATATAGTTTTAAATATTTAACAACCAATAGAAAACACGATTATTGAAAATCATCGTATTACATCACTTAACAGCCAATAGGAAACATACACTGATTTTAGATTATTCCCCAAACCGTTGCCATTAGCAACTTACCAACAAGAAGAAAGCTGTACAAAGCCCAAAGAGGCTTCATCTTGTAGCAGGTAATAAGGATTTTGGTTTCCTGCAAAAGAAACAATAATAATTGTTATCAACAGAACCATAACTCAATTTGTCAAATATCTGGGTCCCACGTTATGTCAACGATAACTTTGCGGATTTACAAGGCTAAAATCTGGGGTTCCCGCAAAAATTTCAAAAATAATTTGTTTATAAAAATCAATATTACAAAAAATATGTAAAGCTAAGCACCATATAAATATGGATATCAATATTACAAAAAATATGTAAAGCTAAGCACCATATAAATATGGATATCAAAATATGGATATCAATATTACAAAAAATATGTAAAGCTAAGCACCATATAAATATGGATATCAAACACTGCCCAAAAACATTGTATTTAAGAAAGATTAACTGAAAACTTATTTTACCTGAAAATAATTATAGAGGGTTCCCCCCACATTCTAGAGTGTTATATAAAATACGAAATAATTATAGAGGGTTCCCCCCACATTCTAGAGTGTTATATAAAATACGAAATAATTATAGAGGGTTCCCCCACATCCTAGAGTGTTATATAAAATACGAAATAATTATAGAGGGTCCCCCACATCTAGAGTGTTATATAAAATACGAAATAATTATAGAGGGGTCCCCCACATCCTAGAGTGTTATATAAAATACGAAATAATTATAGAGGGTCCCCCACATCGTAGAGTGTTATATAAAATACGAAATAACTATAGAGAGTTTCCCCCACATCCTAGAGTGTCATATAAAATACGAAATAATTATAGAGGGTTTCCCCCACATCTTAGAGTGTTATAAAATACGTATGATCCTCCTGGGACAAAATCCCAAGATTTGTTAAACATTTCCTTCCTGGGTGGATTTAACAAAACCAGAAATAGTACAGTTTTAAGAAAAGAAGAATCTGTTCATTGTGCAGGCTTCATTTAAACTGTTTGATGAACAGATTCTACTTTCCACGACAACTAGAACAATACACGTACATCTAAACTGTTTGTGTATTGTTATGGTTGTCGTGGAAAGGAGAATCTGTTCATAGTACATCTAAACTGTTTGTGTATTGTTCTAGTTGTCGTGGAAAGTAGAATCTGTTTATTGTACAGGCTTCATTTAAACTGTTTGTGTATTGTTCTAGTTGTCGTGGAAAGGAGAATCTGTTTATTGTACAGGCTTCATTTAAACTGTTTGTGTATTGTTCTAGTTGTCGTGGAAAGTAGAATCTGTTCATCGTACATCTAAACTGTGTATTGTTATGGTTGTCGTAGAAAGTAGAATCTGTTCATAGTACATCTAAACTGTTTGTGTATTGTTCTAGTTGCCGTGGAAAGGAGAATCTGTTCATCGTACATCTAAACTGTTTGTGTATTGTTCTAGTTGTCGTAGAAAGGAGAATCTGTTCATCGTACATCTAAACTGTTTGTGTATTGTTCTAGTTGCCGTGGAAAGGAGAATCTATTCATAGTACATCTAAACTGTTTGTGTATTGTTCTAGTTGTCGTAGAAAGTAGAATCTGTTCATAGTACATCTAAACTGTTTGTGTATTGTTCTAGTTGTCGTGGAAAGTAGAATCTGTTCATAGTACATCTAAACTGTTTGTGTATTGTTCTAGTTGTCGTGGAAAGGAGAATTTGTTCATCGTACATCTAAACTGTTTGTGTATTGTTGTGGTTGTCGTGGAAAGGAGAATTTGTTCATCGTACATCTAAACCGTTTGTGTATTGTTCTAGTTGTCGTATAGTTTTCACTTTGTCTTGATTAATAAGATGCTCTTCTGAATATAAAAAAGATACTTGTCTTGTTAACGTAGTCATTTCGTTTTCTAGAGCATGTACTGTTTACATTAACAAAAAATATGACATATTTCTTAACAATATTTAAGAAGTGTCAGTTAAGCTTTGGCTCGTACGTGCTCATAAAATCAGTGTTAATGAAGATCTTACAAGCAAAGTATTTGAAACAAGAATGAAGTCTGTTCATCTTCTTGAACAAAGAACAAAATTACCTCCATTTCAATCACAATTATAGTATTTTGGCACTTGTGTATAAAGTTAAAATCATAAATAATATTCAACGTTAAAATGGTACACAATTAAAAACATTTTATTTAGGCCTATCTATGGCCTTCAAAAAGTTGACGACTCTACATGTTTCGAAGTTACAACGTCATTCACAATTCACCGGGAAGGCGGTTAACTTCACAATAGCGGATAAGAATTCGCTCGTGACTGATACTTTAGTTTTTTTTTATGAATGCATAGGTGGCACTCGAGTTTATAAGACGTCGTCACAGTCTAAATCTCTACTATGTAGGATTTGTTCTTTTGTGTTTCTGAAGACTTCACTCTAAACAAAGGTGTTTAGTTTAGTGAGAGTAATTGTTTAAAATGTTTTGGTTTGGTTTATGACGCCTGTTGTACAATGTAGTTACTAAACATATAATACCCGTGCATTTGAAATAAAAACAACATTCATGACCTAAGCCTGAAGGATTTTCAATCAAAATTCCTGCCAAGATATTGATTGATTGATGATTGATAGCGCCCTCCTGGGAAATTCCTACTGCACGTGTAAGAAAAAACAGGGAGTAGCGATTTCCAGGTGTACCCTACTTTAAGCCCCCTACTGGCTGCAGTAAGTCTGAAAGCTTGTAAAGCTAAAAACCGCGTTTCGATACCCGTGGTGGACACAGCACAGATAGCCTATCGTGTAGCTTTATGCTTAATAACAAACTATACTTTAGAGAATAACATAGTTAGGCATAAGAATGCATATAACATGGTTAATGTTACTAAGAGGTGACGTGTAAGTGAAACTCAGGGCGTGATTAAACTAATCGAACGATTTCCAGTAAATCGCTAAATTTTTTCTTTCGTGAAATTGTCTAAAAATAGGCAAACCATAAATACGTATAAAATACGTACAATATTGCCTAAAAGGACGCCAATTTTTTTATTTTTTTTGATATTCTGGAAACTCTGGGCTTTTATAATATCATTTATTTTTAAATACCCATCTTTATTTAAAGCCACTGTCAATTTGTAATATGGCTTTTCTCGATCCCCCTCCCACCATCTTCCTCAGTAATGAGTTTAAAGAGACACATTAAACTGAGTCACAATTTACTCTTTAATTGTATGGTAGTTAACTCGACATCACGTCTGTGTTCAACATATTTATAACTAGTTGGAGTACTCGTCCCCTGATGGGAAGTTATGCGAATTCATGAAAGGTTATCTTAGGACATGAAAAGTTGCTTCCCTTGTATGCGATTGTAAAAAAAAAAAAAAAACGCCCATAAAAACCGCAAAACTGAAAATTTGTATATACCCCCACATGGAGCTAATGAGTCTCCATACCAATTTTGGTGAAGATCCATTCATATCCTGCGAAGTAGTTACATGGACATACAACAGACAGTACTATTATATTTATATAGAAGTAGTTACAGGGACATACAATAGACAGTACTATTATATTTATATAGAAGTAGTTACAGGGACATACAACAGACAGTACTATTATATTTATGTAGAAGTAGTTACAGGGACATACATCAAACAGTACTATTATATTTATATAGAAGTAGTTACATGGACATACATCAAACAGTACTATTATATTTATATAGAAGTAGTTACATGGACATACAACAGACAGTACTATTATATTTATATAGAAGTAGTTACATGGGCATACAACAGATAGTACTATTATATTTATATAGAAGTAGTTACATGGACATACAACAGACAGTACTACTAGATTTATATAGAAGTAGTTACAGGGACATACATCAAACAGTACTATTATATTTATATAGAAGTAGTTACATGGACATACAACTGACAGTACTATTATATTTATACAGAAGTAGTTACATGGACATACAACAGACAGTACTATTATATTTATATAGAAGTAGTTACATGGACATACAACAGACAGTACTATTATATTTATATAGACGTAGTTACAGGGACATACATCAAACAGTACTATTATATTTATATAGATACGTCCTCTCCACATCGTTGGATAGTTGAAAATCAAGCATTATTGACAAAGGTTCGTCGTGTGGACGAATATATTTTTAACATGATTGCTATCTGTCATTAACCCTCTTACTGAGCGCTCGGTTTACTATATCAACAGTAGCAAATATTTTAAAGTTAAGAACAAACTACAAACTATATTTGGTAAGGCAAGACTCTTGAACTCACTGAAAGCTAAATCCGTAGCCCTCTATAATTAATCCCTATCGACATATATCTTCCTTACAATACTTACATCAGAAGAACAAAATTGGTACAAATATCCGTCAAAGATGAAGAGTAACTTACCAAAAATATCAACAACTATCACGTCTGGGGGTAGACGTTGTAAAATTTGTATCTATATCACTGTTTGGAGAGTTTTCTTTTTGTGCTTGGTGTTTCTTTTGTTTTTTTACTGTATATAAAGTTTCAAAATAAACTATAAAATACAGTCGAACTCATTTAAAAAACAACGATTTTGTAATACACAATAATCATAAAAATGAAGCTGTCTCAAGAATGCAATAAAATACTAAATAACTTACTCTACGGGATAAAAAACAACTAGTAAAAAACGTTGAAAGATGACGTGTGTCATCGGTAACTTTTCTTTTATCCTGTACACTAAGTTATTTAGTATCTTATCGTAACTTGAGACAGGAAACAGTCTCATTTTTATGATCACTCTGTATTAATAATTCGTTGTTTTTAAAAAGAATTTTGAGTTCGAACATTTACACAAGTACCGTCTGAATATCAATACAAAATAGGGATAAAGTTTTGAGAAGTTCCTTCTAGATGCTCAAACCAAATGTTTCAAATAATGACGATAGAAAACTAATAGTTTGATGGAAAACGTATAGAGAATAAGTACTGTTTACAAACAATTCTAGACCAAGAACGATCTGTACGACTGATCTTCAAAGTGCGACACTGGTTTTTTGTTTGTGTTTTATCAATCACGGCTTCTCTGTGAGCCTTTTTTTTTACTACTAACTATTCATTAACGGAGGAATGATATTTCCACTTGTCCCCAATGACTTTCCTCAGGATGAAAATACTAGTATTATTACAAAGAAATGGGTGAAACAAATCTCGTTTTACAAAACACTCCGGAATCTGTGTGGAAAAAACGAATAGATTAGTTGAAGTTTATTGGTACACACAGATAAATATCGGTTGGTCAACAAGAAAGACGCTAAAGTTTAGTTTAGTTGTTATTAAGCACAAAGCTACACAATAGGCTATATTTGCTCTGCTTACTACGTGTATCGAAACCCAGATTTTACCGCTGAGCCACTGGGGGGTGGGGCGGTAATATGTAAGAAACAAGTGAAATAGTTTTGTCTCATGAATTATTATCATATTACACCGATTTTCTGTTTCTTAAGATTGTAGATATACTCTTGGTCCCGGCATGGCCTGGTGGTTGGGGCGCTCGACTCGCAATCTGAGGGTCGCGGGTTCGTATCCCAGTCCAACCAAACATGCTCGCCCTTTCAGCCGTGGGGGCGTTATAATGTGACGGTCAATCCCACAAAGAGTAGGTAAAAGAGTAGCTCATGAGTTGGCGGTGGGTGGTGATGACTAGCTGCCTTCCACCTAGTCTTTCACTGCTAAATTAGGGACGGCTAGCGCAGATAGCCCTCGTGTAGCTTTGCGCGAAATTCATAACAAACAAACAGATATACTCTTGTACTATATAGTTCTTGCACATTTAAATCAGTTGTAGTTTTCGCCTGAAAAACAAAAAATATATTTTCAAGTTAGGCTCTATCCTACGTATACCCGAGCTCGTGAAATGTTTTGGATGAAGCACGTTCTTCTTGGCACTACATACTCGTTTCACGACCACTTACTTGGAAGACAGATAAAAAATATCTCATCCAAGGAACGTGCGTATGACGTCACCATTCCTCTTGGTCAGTGGGCACCATAACCGTCACCAGGAAAGCAAGAATTATAACTTATGATCACCAGTGACTGTTTCACCTTGTAATATAATGGCTGGAAATTTCCTTTTTTTTAATTGTTATATAAACTTGTAAATCGAGAAAGGAAGATTTTGTAAACAACTTGAATATTTTGCAGGTGACTGTTGCAAACTAATGGCCTGTTTCAAAGTTTTGAGCTTGACTTTGATTACGTTAATAACTCAATCTCGTTTGTAGAATATTTTGCAGGTGACTGTTGCAAACTAATGGCCTCTTTCAAAGTTTTGAGCTTGACTTTGATTACGTTAATAACTCAATCTCGTTTGTATTTCATAATAATTAAATATATTCGCTCAAAGCTATACAAGGGCTATCTGAGATGATGGACTGGGAGATAGCTAGTCAATATTACTTAGTCAATAGTACTCACCATCAACTATTTGGCTACTCTATTTGAATAGTTGGATTTCACCGTCACTCTTATAATGCACCACGGCTCCAAAGTACGGAGAACGAACCATAAACCCTCAGATTTACAATCTGCTAAACACTAGGCTACGCTCAATACTTTGGTTCTTTTAATAAAATATAAAACAGTATAGATCAAGACAAATGTTGTGTAGATTTTTAGGCTTAATGCAAATAAAATGTTAGTACTTTTCGTGAATTAAGAAATTGAAAAGAATATCAAATGATCAATGCTATTCCAATTACGTTAGATAATGAAAGGAAATATAGGATGAATTATTTTCAAACGTCAAAATTATCCTCGCGCTAAAAATGAATTTAACGGTTTGTATATGGTATAAGGGAAAACAGTTGAAAAGTCAAACAGTTTTGTCTGAAAACAGGACAAAGAAAAATGTTTATAACTATATTATTCGTTGTTTTTTTTTTATTCTTCATAACAGACCCAATATTTTGATATCTAACTTAAATAAAATTAATCATTAAATCATATACTAAAACAATTGTATTAAACATAATTTGTGGATATTAAATCCAATCCGCTTAATTCCACTAAGTTATAATTCTGACACTTTAGGTTCGTATTGTAAAAGCGACTGATAAGTTAGTTTTAAGTACAGGCACGCTTGTCTTTAAAATATATGTTTACCGTTACTCGAAGGAAAAAGAGACCTACCAGTGATATCTTCACTAAGTTGCTTGGTTGGTTTGAGAGTGTGTAATAAGTAACCACACCAGTCAGCTTGTCTTGGACAAGTGAGGAGTGTAGAGACCTTTATACACCTCAGCAGGAAACTCCCAGCTTCCCCAATTAGATGATGACTCCCAGCAGTCTTTGCTCGTCTTCAGTAGAGCACGCGCGTGCACGGAGACTATAGTATGGGTCGTTTTCCTACAAGACCTCCTTACCTGCCGGTTTACTAGCCCACATTCAGAGCCATGTAAGTCCGTGACCTGGAGTCAAGAGTATTCTCAGAGCCCTGATTGGTTAACTGATTAGTTTAGGTGGCGCTAACTATGACGAGGCTCACTTTTTTAAAACAGTTTGTGAGAGCAGAAACCATATATCGACAAGAGAACATGAATAAAGTTTCTACTCTCTAATAACAAACAGACAAACTTCGCTCTTAATCAAATTCGTGTATAAACGCATCCGCAAACAAACATGAGGCTCCAACGTTACACTGGCTAACGTAATTACTTATACCGATATACTGGCTTGAATGGGGGAGGGGGGGCTTAGAGTGCCTCTTCCCAGAGAAACAATGTATTTAACACACTGTCCCACTGACCCTTGCTATTTATGATTCTTGAGGTCTCTTAGAGCCCTCGTATGACGATAAGGCGGAGCTCTGACCTCTGCGTCTCATGCCTTCTTGATCTAACTCTTCTGATTACTTTCTTGTCCTCACTTTCTACCCACTGAGCTTTGTAATGACGTTAAAAATGAAAAGGGTTAGCATTTCATGAATAGGAACTGGTTATAAAACAACAGTAATTTAATTTTACTAGATGATAGATAAGTCCCTCTTGTGATGTATTTTTAGAGAAAAGTGTTATTAACTAGTTCCTGTTTTGTAATCTTCACTATTAAAATATCAGTTTTTATTGACCACCATCTGAAAGATTAAAATTCGTGTAAAAATGATTAAAAAAATTTTAAATTTTCAAACGATCAACGTTTTTAACTTACACAATTAAAATCTTTATTCTGACACTGTTTAACGGTCTCAAAACAACCACTCTACATGTTTGAACGTGTATCACATCATCTTCAGGAGTGCTAAGTATTTTCAATTAAAGAATTAAATTAGATTAGCACTTCTGAAGATGACGTGATACACGTTCAAACATGTAGAGTGGTTGTTTTGAGACCGTTAAACAGTGTCAGAATAAAGATTTTAATTGTGTAAGTTAAAAACGTTGATCGTTTGAATTTTTTTAATTACCATCAGCTAGTGCGTAAGTTAAGTGATATCAGCGAGATTTAAAACATTGATTGTAAACCAAACCCAAAAGAATCAAATGTGGTATTCTTCAGGGTTTACCACGGCATCAAAAACAGTAATTTTCATGTAATATATGTATATTAAATACAGATCATAACTTCTCATCCTTAGTGGTGTACTAAATACCTGCTTTTAACAGTTTACTTCTGTTCCCCAGTAAGTCATTTTCGCGATTTAGATCGCAACAGACCACTAAACACGATTGTCGTCTTCCTCGAGATACGCGCTGGTGCAAATCATCATTACTTGTCGGAACAGTCTGTAAAATCTAACAGAAAGAGTTCAACGAACTACAGCATGCATCAGGATTAGGTATAGGTTAACACCTAGGATGTGTGACAAGTGATTCAAGTTTAGGTATAGAGTAACACCTAGTATGTGTGACAAGTGTTTCATGATTAGGTATAGGTTAACATCTAGGATGTGTGACAAGTGATTTAGGATTAGGTACACTAGGTGTTACTCTATACCTAAACTTGAATCACTTGTCACACATACTAGGTGTTACTCTATACCTAAACTTGAATCACTTGTCACACATCCTAGGTGTTACCCTATACCTAATCCTGAATCACTTGTCACACATCCTAGATGTTAACCTATACCTAATCATGAAACACTTGTCACACATACTAGGTGTTACTCTATACCTAATCCTGAATCACTTGTCACACATCCTAGGTGTTACACTATACCTAATCCTGAATCACTTGTCATACATACTAGGTGTTACTCTGAATCACTTGTCACACATAAGTTTAGGTATAGAGTAACACCTAGGATGTGTGACAAATGATTCAAGTTTAGGTATAGAGTAACACCTAGGATGTGTGACAAGTGATTCAAGTTTAGGTATAGAGTAACACCTAGGATGTGTGACAAGTGATTCAGGATTAGGTATAGGTTAACATCTAGGATGTGTGACAAGTGATTCAAGTTTAGGTATAGAGTAACACCTAGGATGTGTGACAAGTGATTCAAGTTTAGGTATAAGGTAACACCTAGACTGTGTAACAAGTGATTCAGGATAAAGAAAAGAACAATACCTATGTTGTGTAACACTTTGTGTTTACATTCTCAAAAGAAATACGTACATCTATAAGCACATTTTTAGCTTTATAAGTATTTTTGCACCTAAGAACACACGTTTTTAAAAGTAAGAAGTTTTGGAAAAGTAAAATACTATAGCGCTTGACAAAGATAAAACAAAAGATTTTGTAACATGTTACAGTCCCCCGGAGGATTAGCAGTAAGTTGACCGAATTAAAATCCAGGGTTCGATTCCCCTCAGAGGACAGAGTGTAAATAGCCCGTCATATAGCTTTTGCACTAAAAAAACAACAACTATAAGCTTAACTATAAACATGAGGGCATTGGGGTTTGACCTCTGCATTGGGTACAGCGCAAATAGCCCATCGTACAATTTCATGCTTAGCATAAAAAAGCAAGCAAGCATTTCCTACATTATTATTCATTTAAGTAGCCCTAAATGTGAAAAAACCTGATAAGTTTAACAACAAATAAATCAGTAAGATAATCTACCTGTCCTAGTTTACCGTATTGTTGTACTAGTTCTACAATATTCATGTTGTTGTACTAGTTCTACAATATTCATGTTGTTGTACTAGTTCTACAATATTCATGGTGTTGTACTAGTTCTACAATATTCATGTTGTTGTACACGTTCTACAATATTCATGTTGTTGTACAAGTTCTACAATATTCATGTTGTTGTACAAGTTCTACAATATTCATATTGTTGTACTAGTTCTACAATATTCATGCTGTTGTACATGTTCTACAATATTCATGGTGTTGTACTAGTTCTACAATATTCATATTGTTGTACTAGTTCTACAATATTCATGTTGTTGTACATGTTCTACATTATTCATGTTGTTGTATATGTTCTACAATATTCATGTTGTTGTACAAGTTCTACAATATTCATGTTGTTGTACAAGTTCTACAATATTCATGTTGTTGTACATGTTTTACAATATTCATGCTATTGTACTAGTTCTACAATATTCATGTTGTTGTACATGTTCTACAATATTCATGCTGTTGTACAAGTTCTACAATATTCATGTTGTTCTACAAGTTCCACATTATTCATGTTGTTGTACATGTTCTACATTATTCATATTGTTGTACAAGTTCTACAATATTCATGTTGTTGTACAAGTTCTACATTATTCATGTTGTTGTACAAGTTCTACAATATTCATGTTGTTGTACATGTTTTACAATATTCATGTTATTGTACTAGTTCTACATTATTCATGTTGTTGTACATGTTCTACAATATTCATGTTGTTGTACAAGTTCTACATTATTCATGTTGTTGTACATGTTTTACAATATTCATGCTGTTGTACAAGTTCTACAATATTCATGTTGTTGTACAAGTTCTACAATATTCATGTTGTTGTACATGTTTTACAATATTCATGTTATTGTACTAGTTCTACATTATTCATTTTGTTGTACATGTTCTGCAATATTCATGTTGTTGTACAAGTTATACAATATTCATGTTGTTGTACTAGTTCTACATTATTCATGTTGTTGTACATATTCTACATTATTCATGTTGTTGTACAAGTTCTACAATATTCATGTTGTTGTACTAGTTCTACAATATTCATGCTGTTGTACAAGTTCTACAATATTCATGCTGTTGTACTAGTTCTACAATATTCATGTTGTTGTACTAGTTCTACAATATTCATGCTGTTGTACAAGTTCTACAATATTCATGCTGTTGTACTAGTTCTAGAATATTCATGTTGTTGTACTAGTTCTACAATATTCATGCTGTTGTACAAGTTCTACAATATTCATGCTGTTGTACTAGTTCTAGAATATTCATGTTGTTGTACATGTTCTACTGTATACACCTTACTGTTAGGGTCACACTGTAATTCGGTATTTATTTTGCCGTACGTGCTATACTGTACCCCTGTTGATGTACAAGTTCACTGCATTTTGTTACTGTACGGGTTCTAATTTATCCACTTTGTCATACGAATTCCATTGTAATAAAATAACACAATAAAATTAGTGAAAACCAATCGTAAATGGCTCTAGCTGTTGGAATACTAGAAATTGTATAAACGTATTTCGAAGATTCTTGCGTCCTTTACTTTGGCTACAAAACAAAATTTGAGCTTCTTGAGAAAATATTAAGGAAAAACAGCTTTAGAATTACAGACAAATATCCGAAGATCATTAGAAATAACCTAAAAACTAAGATAATACCTGAAGATTTAAAACAAGGCGTTTATATTATATCAAACCAATATTGTGAGAAATGTTATATAGGTGAAACTGGAAAACGTTTTGGCACGAGAGTTTCTGAATATAACAAAGACAAGAAATATGGAAATGTAAACAATGCCGTGGTTTTGGTTGTTTTTCCTTCATATGTGGTATTATGACCATAAATTCAATTGAAACTCTTCCGTCAGTACAATAGGTGTGATCTTCCATCAGTACAATAGATGCGATCTTCCATCAGTACAATAGATGTGATCTTCCATTAGAACAGTAGGTGTGATCTTCCATCAGGACAATAGGTGTGATATTCCATCAGGACAATAGGTGCGATCTTCCATCAGTACAATAGGTGTGATCTTCCATCAGGACAATAGGTGTGATATTCCATTAGGACAGTAGGTGTGATCTTCCATCAGGACAATAGGCGTGATCTTCCATCAGGACAATAGGTGTGATATTCCATTAGGACAGTAGGTGTGATCTTCCATCAGTACAATAGGTGTGATCTTCCATCAGGACAATAGCTGTGATCTTCCATCAGGACAATAGGTGTGATCTTCCA